GCGGCGTTTGCGACGCCGTGACAAGGGAGAAGTTCCCAGACCCCGTGTCATCTTTAACAGTACGGAAGCAAGTTGTTCCATCTACAAGTATCTGTATACGGTATCAAATACAACTGACAAGGACCAGCAATATCAGGCCGTCGATTATAGAGTATATCAATGGATTTCTTCCATTCGAACCATGGCGCACGTATTAGGCCCTTACAGCCTGACCGTGGTATCGTCAGCAGCTGAGTTACATTCCAGTTCTAGAAAGTCCTGATCCCTTCCGATTACTGTCTAAAGATTGCGTGCGATCAACTCTGTGCACTTTCGAAAGGCACACACTTGGTCTTCCTCACGTTGAGACGGGGACCTTCTCCCTATCTACACTTTCTGCCATTTCTGCAATCTGTGCTGGAGCTCTCCTTTGCTGTTCGCTGTCTAACAATAAGCCAAGTAATCAACATGTTTATCAGCGGTCCATCCACTGTCGGCGTGCAAATAACCTACAGTCTAGAGCCCAGGATCATGAGGCTCACCAGGTTTTGATCGCCGTGACTGCTAAACGAAGAGTCCCAGATGCCTGTATGTAGATGCCTCATTACCGTTCCCATTCCAAGCAGAAAAGGCTTGTTATGGCGTGTTCCAGTCACTGTGGATTTTGATCTAATTTGCTCACACGATGAAACTCTACAAGCGCTTTGTTAATGAGCAGATCGGCTGCCTAGCTTTCTTCGATCTGGAGAAGTTTTTCGAACGAAATCCGCAGCAAATCCTCTGGAAACCCAAGAACGAGGCACTACTCATCACAAGATATCCTCCTTCATAGGAAGGAAATGATCAAGGCCCAAGGCGGTCGTACACATCCCTCTCGTTTTGACAAAGAAATAAACGTTATAGTCGGGGAACAACTAGGATCAGCTCTATTCCTGCTTATATTAATTGTCATTCAAAAGACTTTCTGGATGGATATCCAGGAATAATCCTCTGCACTGCTGGCTTTACTCTGACAGTGGAAAGCAGGGAAGAGTTCTAGGAGGACACAGTGCCATGCTAACCGTTTCGGGCAAGCCGCCAGAAAGTAAGACCTAAAATATCTCGGGAGCGACCTAGCCATCAATGGTAGCGTGGACCAGACTGTGCTGGCAGAATGTATGGATTGGGCTTGTCAAATATCAAGGAAAGTGACTTTCGCTTTGCTGAAATGAGGGCGCCCGCAGCTGCAACGATCGACCAAGACAGAAATGAGGACGTCAGGGAGGGCACGTGAACAGCCACTGTCGAGCTGAAGATAAGAAAGCAACGTCCGCCGTAGTAAATCATTCACCAAGAGAAGCAAACGAGCTCGATAGATAAAGGAAGCGACGCCGAAGGATATCAATCACAGGTGGACTATCTTGTTTGAGAAGGACACACCCGAAACTACATAGAGCAGTAGCGGAAGATGCCGTGGATAGAAGGAAGTGGAGACTACGTACGAGGAGAACTGACTGTGTGACGGCGTAGGCCAAGGCTGGAAGGACAGGGAGAAGAAGGAAAATAAAATTGCTAAATTTTATAAATGTTCTCATTACCTTATGGAATTTACAGTGAGGAATTTTGCTATCGCTTCATAGTTGTATGTTTTACGCAAAAGAAACAACATATCAAACAAACGGAGTTTTTAGGACGTCAGCACTGCTCATAAACTTTTCTAAAGGATAATATCAGCCATGGCTTTATTGCTATGTGAAAAATTAATAAATTTGTAATCTTTATTGGCTTCAACTGTCACACACAAAAGAAATCACATGACGTATTACGTTACTGTACTAACAGGAGAGCATAACATTGAAGTGGTGCAGAACATGTCACCAGGGCAGGCCGAACATGGAGCGCCTTTCATATAAAGATGTTCGTTGAGAATATTGCCTCTGAAAGTGGGAACGAACTTTCAATGCCTTCTGAACACCATTTTCATTACATTTAACCGAATATACATAAAGTGGTAACGGAAAAGAACTGTAATTTTTGAACGAACCCAGGTTTGTAGTGGCATACAACTGACCAATAGTCTCCACATGATGCTACACCGCAACCCATCATGTCAGAAGTCGCCCAAGCCATCTACAAATGTACTCACTTCACACGGTATTGAAAAAAGCGAGTAATTCTGAGCTCCACTCAGGGAAACCTCACCCTAGTGAACATCTGGATCGGTTTTCCCTGGTTGTATGATGTGAAAGTGACATCTTTACCTATGCCGCCATCGACATATACCTGCTTCCACCAGTGCTTTATAGCCTGAACATTGTGGTATGTTCTATTACAGGCACCTTGAAGGTCTGAATGGGTTGTGAATCAACTGACCGTTCTCATAGCTTCAACGCGGGTAGTAACTGGTACAGTAGTTCCATTTTTAAGCAAACGGTTTTTCATGAAATAGAAGTGGTTTTGCTGCTCACCAGAGGGTAGGGTTGGGTCCATTCCACGAGTACATTGCCTAGCGAATGCATCAGCGCTGTTTTCTAAGTCGCAGTTGTACCTCTAAAATGGGACCTTTATAGCTGAGATGTAGTGAAAGGTCGCCGAAATAGGGTCCCTATGTTCCCAGAACAGGCATGTAAACCAATCGTAATGCCAGAGTTGCCCTCAAACCTAGCGACGTAACTTACCCACCGCACTACGAGAAAGATTGGACCCTGAGGTCCAAATCTCAAAGCTATTTATTCTTAAATTTTCGCCTCTGGCATCATAATTAGGGCTACCAGACTTAAGAAAATCTCAGCAATGAGGTGTTCGCGCTGGCATCAGTACGAGAGGTAGCTGCTCCAACTTACCATTTCTCTCATATCGGACGCCTTCGGCAAGTCCTTTCCTGCTTTATTTTTTACCATTCCTTGGGCAAGGTGGCTCCTATAAGAAGAATCGTATTCTGTACGGAAGCAATTCTTCAGGATTCAATACTTCAGAAAATTTCAAAGAAGGCTTACCTGCGGTAGTTATGCGCTTCTCTTGCGAACAGTCGTATTTTGTCGTTCATGTTCATGTTATTGGGGCAGATCTTGTTGCCTGTTGAAATAGGATGCGTTAGAAATCTAAGGAAACATCTGCCAGTTCAAAAAAAGCTCCAACCCAAAAGCCAGTGGGCTTTAAGAAGCTACAAGCCCAGGAGTCTCATGATTTTTGTGTGCTGAACGACCAACTGTTTGAAAAATTCTCTTTGCTGCACTCAGAAGTTCAGAGAGCCTTCAACTAAACCAACCTGCTGCACCAGCAGCTGTTGTAGTCGACATTGTACTCGCGGTACTGCTCACACTGCTTGAACTCGCTGTTGATGAGCTCTCCGCAGTGCTGCTCATGCTGGTTGAACTCTTTGACGTTGTGCTCGTGCTGCTTGATTTCACTGTAGATGGTGAAGTCGAAGAAGACGGGTCCTCTGAGTTTACTCGCGATACGAGCGCGAGGTGAATCTGTGGAAAAGCCGCTGTAATAGCTACAAGGAAGCTTAAGGAGAAAGCTTACCACCACCACTATGAAGAGCAGCAGAGCACTCCTTGCTGTGATCATTCTACAAGGGCCGACGATATCGCCGGAGTTCTGACGCTGCTTTTATGTGCATGTGAGCCGTCATCTGAATGGGTGTAGCCTACTGGAAAAACTCCTGTACATTGTTGTCCAGACGACTGTTCGGTTTTTGTCAAGACGTTTCTGCTTTATGAAAAATCAAACAGCCACCATATTGGCAAATCGTACAACCGTGATGGTTTTTATCAAAAGCTGCACTTTGAGTGAAAACAACCGTTGCCTGATATCTCGAGGCAGCAATTGCTATCGGTTGCCGTTAGTTTTGTCTAAGCCTGCACTGATTTTGGCTAGTTCTCCAAGGAACTAACTCATCGAGAGAATTTGCAAAGACCTGAAATGAAGTCAAATGGTGAGCAGACGTGTGATGTCCATCTAGTACTTCTCATCCTACCGTGTGGCATCTAGTACCGTGTCATTCTCGGGATTTTACTGCCTAAACAATGCCCGCAGTTTGCGAAGAAGCATCAAGAACTAGATTTGAGAGCTTTAGGTGTAACAGCAAATCACATGGCACCAAGTTACAAGTCAAATGAACCGAGTAGTAAGTAGTGAGATCAGAGGAAACTGTACTAGGTGGCCTAATCGGTAGCCTTTGAGGGAATCTCAATCGAGCGTATCATGCCTTTACTTCTTGATTCAGTAAGGGCTCAGGTCCAGTTATGGACTGAGATCTTTTACCAGAATCTCCGGATTAATAGATTCTGACCGGAGATGTTGCCGAAAATTTTTAAAATCGTAGGGTTAGGCAACTCAGGGAGTGAAGTTAGTGTACGGTAGCTGCTAGCAGTTGATTTTATCCGGCTACCGGAAGTAGACCGGCAGACTCGCATGGGAGTGAACCTTCCCTGAACAATTTGCTCATTGAAGCAGTCTTTTTTTCTAATTCTGCCAGTGAGGCTGAATCAGTCTCTTATAGGGAGAAGAGGTTCAGTTTTGCAAGAAGTTTCGCATGAAGAAACGTTTTGGCAGTTGTCCTTTCTCTGGTGTCATCATCAGCATCATTGTCGTGTTCGAAATGAAAGAGTAAAGTATCTGGTATGACACTAATGAGAATATAATTCAGCAGAGAGCAGGATAAACCCAAAAATACTGGCATCGCTGATAGGATAAGGCAAAAAAATCGACTACGGGAGGTCAACTTCTCTGAGAGATTCTCATTTCTCAGTATTTTGTGCATCAACCTTCATCATTTTTTCCTCTTCTCGCCTGGAAGGTGGCTTAATCAATCTTTGAATTTCCATTTTTTCACTTACAGGCCTTTCAAGCCATGATTGTACATCTTCAGAGCTGGAAACGTAATACAGTACAGGACCAAAGGACCTATATAGTTCAGGGAAATACTTTCTTCCAATAAAGGGTGGACATGAATTCCTCTTAATCTAGGAACCTCCAGTAACAGGGTTATAAGGAGGTCTCTTGAAGCAAGGCTTTTTTCAGCCTTTATTCATACCTCATTGAATAGTTGGTTTGCCTATATTTTTACTAACTTTATTTGTATTTCCTCTATTTACTGCCATCTTCTTTGAATAAAACGTCCTAGAGATACAAAGTGCATGAATTCTTTTGTTAAAGCTGAACAAGTGATAACCGCAGACCTTTATTGAATCCCAAAAGTTAAAACAAAACAAGAAGCATTACATCAAATTATCGCTCCGAGTGAAGAACAAAGCTTCTCAATAGTACAAAACATGTTGGCAGGACAAGCTGTGCATGGGCGACCTTTCTCGTAAATACGCTCGTTGGGAACATTGCCTCTGAAAATGCAAACATGATCATCTGTTCTGATGATGATAAGTGAGCATGAAATTTTTAGAAGTTAGATATCTAAAAGACTTTTAATATCTCAAAAGCCAGATAATTACTACAGATTTGATCAGTAAGTTTTCTGCTCTGCCTTGACAGATTGTTTGGTAGGCGTCAGTTAAAACGAACTCACACTTTGGTATGACTGTCGTCGCTCACCTGACCTCAGAAAGAGCACAGAAATTAAAACAGAACCGAAAGAGGGCACTAAAACGAACCCAGGTTTGTAGTGACATACTGCAGACCAGAAGTTTCCACATGATGCTACACCACAACCCAACGAGTCAGTGGTTGCCCATGCCATCTACAAGTGAGTACACTTATAATTTTGTAAAAAAATGGCAGAGTCGATTTCCAATCAAGTCAAACCCAAAAGCGGCAAGAAGTTACCCTGGTGAATTGTTGAATCGGTTTGTACTGGTCATTAGACCTGAAAGTGACTTCTTGGCCAACACCACCGTAAACTTTCAATTGCTTCCACCAATGCCTTATTGCCTGAATATCTGGTATGCACCCATTGACAAAAATGGTTTCGAAAAAGCAAATGCACTTTCAAACTAACCACTTTCATAGCACGTATGCGAGTACTGATCATTCTTGTCTTTCCATCTTTGCCTTTTCGGTCTTTTCGGAAATAGAAGTGATTTTGCTGTACATCAGAGGGGAGGCTTGGGTCCTTCCCTCGGGTACAAGTCTCAGCGAATGCGTAAGCACTGCTTTCAAGACCACAATCGTATACCTACAACTGTGAGGTATAAGGGAAAAGGCAAAGAATCGTAAAGGAAAGAATCAAGATTTTCCATTGTAGCTGGGAGCTGAAAGCTCGAACGACCCTCGGATTTAATGTCGTTTGTACAAAACGAGCATAGGGTACAGCGATGTGCCTCTCAACGTACCAGTTCTCTCATATTGGATGCTTTCGGCAAGTTCCTTCCTCTCTTATTCTTAACCAATCCCCGAGCAAGACGCCCTCTGCAACAAAACTGTATCAGTAGGATGGAACTTATCAATTTCGACAATATAAAAGTCCTTCGAAGATGGTCACCTTCTGTAGTTGTGCGCAACCTTTGCAATCGTTCTTAGCCTGTCGTTCATGCCGGTGTTGTTTGGGCATATCCTGTTCTCTGCTAAAGCAGACGATGAACTTATTAAGCTTTCACCAGTAGTGTATCGACCTCATTCAGAATTTAATGAAAAAGTTACTGCGACGGTAAGCCAGACCTTCTGAAGCCAAGACTGTGATGGTATCCTCTTCACTATCATCCTCGAAGCTACTGCTTCCTTCCTCCTCTGAGATTGAGGGTGCCCATAACGCTGATGATGACGCCAGTGATTGATGAATCTGTAAATAAGGCATTTGTTGTTGCTGATTGGATACCTCCAGTAGGAAACTCACCAATATCAAAATAGAAAACAGCAGAGAACGCTTTGTAAACATTTTTCCGAAGCCGATGTTGATAGTGAGTGAGAGCTGTTTATATGTGCACGAGAAGAACTATCTGGATGAAATCCGTTTCGAAGGAAAAACCATGAAATATTGTCGACTGAACGACTATTGTATTTTTTCTTGAAGTTTGCGCATCATGGAACAGCCACGCTGGCAAATCGTACAGCAGCGATACTATGAGTACTTTTCTATACAAAAACACAATTCTGAGCAAGAAATGCTTCCTATCGTAACATTGTGTTTAGGGCCACTTTTGTTACGACAAAGATCCAGCTCGTTTACTTTGTAAGAAACAGCTGAACGGTTTGTCAACAAACGAATGCTTCCGTAGGTTCCAGAATATCGTCGTCTTTTCTTTTAATCAGAAGTTTATTCTGCCGTAGTTTCGCTAGATGGTGTTTTAGCTCGAAGGCAATGTCGTGAGAACGGTCCCTGTTGTGTAGCGACCGTGAGATTTGAAAGTTATTCCTTAAATTTCCTTTCCCATCTTCCACCTTCGCACAGCGAAACAACTTTATTCCGCGGTAACCTGGGTAAAAAAAGAAGAGGCAAAGAAAGATTTAGTTACCACTTATCGAAGTGAACTATATTGTGATTTATTAAATAAACATGGACTTTCTTTGAAGAAATCTGATGTGGAACATTAGCAAAAGAGTAAGGGAGTTTCAGGGTAAAAGGATGACAAGCAGAATGTTCTGCTGTTAATCGATTCCGTTACCAGGAGATGCCACCCATATGGCTTCATATCAGAATCTGAGAGCCGTTCGGATAGCGTTTTTGGCTTTTACAATAACTTGTGGAATCAGCTACTGTAGAGATCGCTATTCATGAGGTCGTGACTAGTGATAAGAGAAAATTTCAACGCTTATTGGTCTCGATGGGTATCTATTGAGAATTCGTTCCCGTTACCATGTACTGTACGTGCTAGTGCGGTTTGGCTAGGTCGGTATGACTACTGACGAAATAAGGAAGCTCTGCAAATTTCAAAGACACTGGTCAAAGCTTGGGGTGTTGATCAATCCCGTCTGTGGGATACCCTCACAAATTCAAGTTCCATTCAGAATCGTAATGGATGAATGCGCATGTGGCTACACAATGACAGGCGGTGGCCAGCCTATGTACAAGTCAGTGCTTTCATTCTACCAGACGAGTCTGGTACCAATTCACCGACCCCGGAGGGATGAAAGGCTTGGTTGGCCTAGGCGGAGATCGAGCCGGGATTGGAACCCGTACCATGCGTGTGTGAAGATCCTCCGAGTTGACAAATGATCCCTGCAACGAACAGTGATCATGTGGTTACCGAAACTTGATTTACCGCTTCCCTACCAGTAGAGCCGAGAATACTATTTGAAAAGATAAACATCCTTCGTTCGGCGCACTGTGATGTCGCAACCCGTACTTTGTGGATATGCTCAGCAGTAGAGAACACAGTGACGCCAAGTGCAGTATTACCAACATATTTCTGTAATCTTACTACCAATTGGAGAGCTCCAGCGCCATAGTTGCTGGAGAAAAATTTATCCAATGGTAGAGGTCCCGAGTGGGGTCCTCTCCTCTACTGATCAGCCCTAATCAGTGTCACCAAGGTACACTATCTCTCTGAAACTATTGGAACCAAGGATCCTTTCCTCTAGATTAGCCCGAATCAGTGTCACCAAGGTACACTACCTCTCTGAAACTCCTTGGTTCCAATAGTTTCAGAGAGATAGCGTACCTTGGTGACATCGATTCGGGCTGATCTAGGATCTAGAGGAAAGGACTCACTCACGATCTCTACTATTGGATAGATTTTTCCTCACAATACGAGTTTCAAGTCATCCTTCAGCGACACGGTTTCATTGCCGTCAAGAATTGCCGCTTACTACATATGTACGCGTACAAGGTATAGGCAAAAGCGTGTTTATAGTGTTCAGGGAGTCCCTTGAAGCCCAAGAGGGAAGCTCCCATCTTAATCCTTCATGTCTTTTGTCCATTCGATGGGATGGGTCCTCTAATTGCTGTTTTCTTACGGTGAATTCTAGTGAAAACGAATCAGATTAAAGAAAAATATGAATTTGAAAAGAACCGGTCGTTCCGTTGTTGTGAGCAGATAATGATCTAAGACAATCACGCGCAGGATTTTTCTACGAATCTCCCTACTAACACGGTGAACGACCGAGGTAAAGAACGGCTAATCGGATGGGGTGTCCAGCACATATTGAGCTCTTTTCGAGCCTGATCTCCTCTCGTATATAATCATGGCAGACACAGGAAGGCGGAACAATCGAAGAGGAATTCACCGATAGCCGATGAAGGGATTCACGGCAAAGCTCGAAGTAGCCGGTACCACTGAAACAGTTGACGAATTTTGTTTGATAAAAAATCCGTTATAAAATCTTTCGCAGTCAAAGGAATGCACCCACGCATTCGACTTCCGTTCATAATCGTTGGTGTATTGGATGCGTATGTGTCCTATATAATGACTCGAGTTGGCCAGCCGATGTACAAGTCGGGGCTTTTATCATTCCGGATAAGTCTATTATGCATTAACCAACCCTGGAGAGATGGAAGGTCTGGTTGCCCGTGATCGTGAGTGAAGCCCGTGATTGTGAGTGAAGTGCGTCACCTCCCACTACACCACCTCCTTACTCCGTCGTAGTAAAGCACTATTACCCATTCAGCAATTCTTACTATGTATTACTTACAAAAAGACAGATTCATTAGCAGGAAGTCTTTGGAAAGTCTCATGTGAATGGATTTCTAGATATCCACATGCTTCTGCTACGCACTCTACTTAACTAGGGTTTATTGCTTTTCTCAGGACAGAGGTTGAAGAAGCCAGTATCGTCGTGATTAGCTGTTACTTACAGGTACACACAAACAGGCTTCCCAAATTGTGAGGATGGACGAATCATGCTGTCTGGAGGTGCTTCCCTGACGTCGTCTGTCCCACGATCAGGCTCAAACGCAGACCTCTTCTTCGAGCAAAAAAAAATCGCCTTTGCGAACAATGAAAAACTTCCACCACAAGCAGGCCATGAACATAAAAAAAACTAACCAACATTCCTGGAACACCGCCTAATCTGTGCCAAAAATCGCTAGTCAACCAGATCGAAACATATTTGAAGATCTTAAAATCATCCCATTGTCCAAAGGCCGGATAAAGCACGTACACAAATCAACATAGCTGGACAGAATTGGGTCACACCAACGTCACGCTACGTTTTAGTGAATATGTAGATGAATATTAAAAAAATAAGACAGGAACTCCCCTCAACCCAAACAACTGCCCTCAAAAAGTGTCAGTTACCTGTCACGATCCAGAAACAAGTACCAATACTAACTAGCTAGTTGCCCAATATCAAGAGGACGATAACTTCATCGTAAAATCGACAATCGAGTTTTCACTTTTGTCATGTTATTCACTTCACTGAGAAGCCGCAGATGAACTACGAGGAATGGAGACAGGCAAACAAAGGTGAAAGTGGTTTCTGTGTAGATTAAACCGCCATCTCGAAATATTCATCGGAACACTTTTGTAAGGTTTGCAGTATCTGGTGATTACCTTGGTTGAACTCGAACAAGCTAGTAAAACAATAGCTTTACCCTTAAGGCACACACAGTACAACTAAGGCACCAGATCTTCACAATGAGAATAGTAATGGAGTACAATAGAAGAGGTCAAGATACAATTACAACAAATGAGATCTTACGAGAGGAATGAGTGTTGGACCTATTTCTGAGGGTGCCAAGGTGTTAAAAGTTGCGGTCGCTCCTCTTGGGGATGAGGTGAACAGCGCCGGTTTAAGAGTCTCCTCCTTTTAGAGTAAACCCGTATTCGACTCAAGGCGAGAATGAATCATTGTATGGGAGTTATGCCCTCTATATGCAACTCTTCCCGCGCTCGGATCTTTCGTAATCTTACTGTGCATTTACCTCGATTTCGCCCCTTCCTTACACTTTGACAGCTCCGTCAATGATGCTGATGGCCTCTCTTCATAGACAGCTACCCTATCATTGTGCATATGCTCAGCATGAACACGGCCTTCATCTCTGCAGGGAAAAAAACACCTTTCTTGATTTCCGATGCAGCTCCAATGACAAAAACGGACTTTTTTTCCTGAAAGAAAAGTCGGAGTTCCAATGTTATCAGGAAAAGGGCTATGCAGTTAAAGCTACTTTCTAGCAAAGGGGTCCCTTGCTGATGGTGTTTAACGATATAATGATTCATTTCTTCATATATCGATAACGATATATGAAGAAATGAATGAGTGAATGAATGAAGAAATGAATGAATGAATGAATCAATGAAGAAATGAATGAATGACTTGTGTGTAGTGCTGGTGTGGAGATGTCCAATAAGCGACCTCCGTGCAAAATTAATCTGCTGCTTAAATCGGCTGAATTCTGACAGTTTTTCGAAAAATCTCCTACAAATGTCGACCGTTTAGTTGTTGCATTAGTTTGGCGGCCAGCAGTCTTTAAGCTAGGCTATAGTCGGCTTACAAATCTGTCAACCTCTCAGCCTGGCTGCCAAGCCTAAGTACATGATCATGGCAAACGTTGGAACTTAACGGTACTGACATATCCCGTATACATATATTGTGCTTTCTGAACAAGTGAGTCGGAATTAAGGCTGAGGCGCCTCAATTCATGATCGGCCTTACGCTGATTGCTATTTAATGACTCATTTTGAAGGCACAGTGCAAGATAAAAATGACTTATGAGATATCCCGCTAGGACAAATCTGTGGCCCTTCGTATACCAAATTTAGCGCTTTCAGGTCAGAAAATGGCCTAGAGAGACCGTTATAAAGTCTCGAATATTGTCCTGTTTGTATACGTTGACGAGTTTCAGCGGCGTTGTAGTGGCTACACCAATCCTGAAGGGACCTAAAGTGCCTCCAAATCGCAAACATTACTTCTGTGCTTTCCAAATCAATGTTTTAATAACGAAAAATTGTAGGAAGTTCAAACAACTTGTCATGACCAACAGAGACAGCGAAAGAAAATTCTTGACAGTTTTGGCTTGATGTAATAGTTAGCTCTTTGGGCAACTGCAACTACTGAAATCTCGTCCGAACACCCTTTTTGTATATCCTTCCTGTCATGGCAATTTCGCACAAGCTCTATTTTCTCTACTTTCCATTAGCCTCATTTTTCGCAAAATCGGTGAGTTTCCTCACTTTCTTCACCACCGATGCACTATTTCCAAGCAATACTTCCGCTTTCCGTTTTACAAACGGTACTTCAAGATCATCATGAAATGTGCCTTCATTTACTTATCATATGCACGCCTTGAAAATAATTTTATTCATAATTTATTCTTAGATGAGTACATTTACATGACATACAAAACAGGAGAGGATCACTGCATTAACCTATAGTGGAGATTGGAGCACAAAGTTTATCGGTGGTGCAAAATGTGTTAGGGGGACATTGTGAACATGGCTCGCCCTTCATGTAAATTTGCTGATTGATAATATTGCCTCTGAAATTGCAAATTTTACTTCTGTGCCTTCCATCAATGTTTTAGTAACTAATACCTTTGTAATACAATTTCGGCTTAGGCTCTACGAGAAGGCCCTAGGTCCCCTTGTAAAGCCTGAGCCAAAACAATTTTGAAAAAAATAATTTGCTTTCCAAAAAGTCGACTGAAAACGAGTAAATCAAACGAACCCAGGTGCGTAATTGCACACAACTGAATAGTCGTTGGGACATTTTGCTACACCACATCCCAATGACATAGTAGTTGCCCATGCCATCTGCAAGTGAGACTTTTTTGGAGGAAGCGTCCTTATTTTAGACCAAAGTCAAAATTTAAAAAAATTAATCAAAAAATAGCCTTACCCTGGTAAAACGTGCGACTGGCGTGCCCACGTTTCCTGTCTTGAATGTGACGTTTTGACCGATTCCACCAGTCTGTCGTAGTCGACTCCACCAGAATTTTATGCCCTGAATCAGTTCAAATTCTGATGAGAAGGTTAGTCCTCTCAAATGGGCTGATGTGGCCAACCTGTCGTAAAGCGTCCACACGATAAATAGCTCTACTTTTTGGTATGAAGAAATAATTTTGTTGCACACCAGAGGGTAGGTTTGGGTCCGGTCCACGTCGACAGGACCTAGCGAATCTGTCAGCCATATCTTCTAGAGTGCAATTGTATACCTACAGAAGTAATCTCTGAGTAGAATCCCAATCGGAAATCACCAAATCAACGAGTTGAAAGTACTTAGAATACTTTTTATAAGCTGAGCTTTTGATTAGGGTAATAAAAGTCGTTCATAATCTTTATAACTACTGAAATTTTATATATAAAAGGAACTGTTCTATGTTTAACTCATAGATTTTTATTGAATATTTAATCTTTCCATACCTGGGCTCTTAATTACCGTAGTATTGAGGAAGCTCTAAATTTTAATTGATTAATTTAATTTTTGTTTCTACAGAAATCGTCCCATCAAGGAGAAAAGTCAGTTATTTTGACATACCAACTGCCTCATGTTAGCTGCCATCGGCAGGTACTTCCCATTCTTATTGAAAACCAACCCTCGTGCCAGACGTCCTCTGTAAATTTCGTGAAATGAGTTTTTTAGTTTTCGGAGGAATTATAAACTTCAGGAAGAAACTTACCTACGATAGTTGTGTGCCTCTTTTGCCAGTCCTCTAAGCCTGTCGTTCATAAATTGGTTAGCTGGACAGATTTGGAAGGTCGTTGCCAAACTTATTTCACCATCATCATCTTCTGTAAAATACAAGTTGAAATGAAGAGTCTGTTAGAGGCCTAGAGTTAGATGAACCTGGAACTTCGCAAACTTACGAGCAGATGTTAAAGGCACCAAAGATGCTACCACTATAGCAACTAAGAGGAACGTGCTGGTCAACATTCTGGACAAGGCGACGGAGGCTATGGAGACGCCCACTGCCTATATATGTACGCCAGATCGGCCATCTAGATGAACTCTGCTTTTGCGAAAAAAAANAAAAAAAACTGGGTGGATTTATGTTTTGTGGCCAGAAAACCGGAGCTTTGAAGGTTTTGGGGGCAAATGGGTTTTCCTGGGTTTTTTTGTTCAAAAGCAGCTTCCTCGGAAGAGGTCGACATCCGTTTTGCTGGTGGGTGTCATACATAAAAAATTCAAAAATTATGGGGCCTTCGAAAAAACGGAGCTTTTCAAGTAACAGGGTACCTGTACAAACGGACTGCAACATTTTGGCATCGAAAAAAAGAAATGACCCACCAAAAGAAGTCTTTGGACGAGTTTACGGCTCTGCATGCAACGACGAAACCAACTAACTGTAGATAGTCGAATGTTCAACGAAGAATTGGGTATCCATGGACGTAGAGCCTTCACTAGGTTACCAGGCCCATTCGAACCGGGCTTCATATCGGCAGTGACGGTTTCTAGGGTTTATTGGGCACCTCCGAAGCATTTCCCAAGCGACACAGGTTGTCTGCTAAATGAACAAAACAGATTTCTCAGGCTGTCGTTTGCGACTCATATTAGCCCTAGCGCTAGTAGTACGCCGTCGCACGGTCCGCTATTCTACCGTCTCGATTTCTTTCGATACGCGACATGTTCTGGCTTGGGATTCATTTCGACGAGGTCTTTCTGATTAGTTACGTATCGGCACCTCTCCTTTGGGACCCCACGTAGCCGCACCCCTTCTACTCCGAACTCCAGCGGCCTTCTTATTGGGTGGTCCAATGGCCATCTCAGCAGCAACGTGCCCATACCATCGCACGTGCTGTTCTCCCATCTTCAACTGTAGTAGGGCGACTTGTATAATCGCTCTTACGTCCAATGTTTCTGATCGATTCCATCCGAATCCAACCTCGGCTACCTCTCATTTTCCCACGCCTGCCAAATGAAGTTGCCTTCCAAGGTTCTTGCTGACGAGCTAGCACTCGTGGCCGTAGAGCATTGCAGTTCTCACAACTGCTCTATATGACTTTCCCTTGAAGTTCCGGATCACCGACGTCGCAGAGGAAACCGGTGGACTCCCTCTATTTTTCCATGCCGCGTTTA